TACTTTAGAAAAAAGTGGAAAACTAATTAAACATGAAAAATGCATGATTCATGCCATTTCAGCATCTTTTTCGTAGAAATATGTACGGCCCTAGGGGCCACAAATTTTTGGCAACTAACAGGGGTTTCAAAATGTTTTGAAGTAGGTGTCTGCAATTGGAAGAGTAGGCATCTGTGAAAAGTTAGGGGCCGGAAAACTCCTCATCCTAGGGGTTCTGGGGACATGCCCCCCTCCTCCAGAAAAATTTAAAATCTACAATATAGAAATTAGGAAATGTCATTTTCTGCATTCAGAGTTAGATGCTGATCTATTAATGGCATAACTTTGCTGATTGTCTTAAGTGGCATTAACTTAATGGAAACTAGTCAAGGAAGCAATGATTTGTATTAGCCACCATGTTATCTTGCTTAACAGAGTTGCATGAAAATTAAATAAATCCTTGTAACACATGTTTGTCTGAGATAGAAATGTAAAAACAAAAATCATTTTAAGCTTTTCCAAATCTCACACCTTTCATTTACAAGATAAAGTAGTGAGAATCAAGCAATAAAATCATGAAATTAAAAAAATCCTCAAGTCGCCATTTTGCGACTAAGTGGTGAAAAATATACATAGTCACCAAATGCAAAGTTTTAGTCACCAGAACGTAAAATCAAATAAAAGAGACATCATCCATTGACTACATGCTAAGCCATTTGGTAGTTTTCCAATGTGAGAGAATCATTTTAGCAAAGCAAAAGGATTGTATGCTTAAAGTGCCTATGAAATAATTATTTTTTCTCATATATCAAAAATATCAGGTTATTGAACATTGAATTTAATGTTTTAAGGTAATTTCCCTGAAATAAAACTACACATAGATTTTTGTTCAAACTTTGTCCAATGAATATTTATCATATGAGAACTTTAATTATAAAATGAAATAGGGGGGTGCCCATGCTCATTACGGAGCAGTGAGGCATCAAAAATGTCCCATGTAAGGGTTATTTAATGCTTATTATAAGAACACATTCCAAGTTATTGTAAACTCTTTGTGAACCCAGACTCATGAAAACATACGTCAAACTACAGTCAATACTTGTGTCAGACACAAATAAACTTTTTAAGTTTGATTTTGACAAACAGCTAAATCCTTGTTGAAATATTGCAACCAAATTGCTTGCCACGGCTATCAAACTGCACAATAAAAAAGACTACAGTGCAGCTGCTATTTTCCTTATTTATTCAACTTTCAACAATAGAAATCAGATAAGTCTTTTCTCACGCAAAGCTAATGATTGTTTGATTAAAATGACTGTTAAAAAATTTGGGGTGCCCGAGCTCGTCAGTGAGCTACTGCTGTATAGCCATTTTTCAACTGACAGAACTCAATATCAAGGCAAATCCGCCATGTCTTCAATGTGCGCGTGCACGAACGCGTGCTAATGACGCCATAAATTATGCGCAATAAGGATGCGCAATGCAATACTGGGGAAAGACATTAAAGGATTGGAAACATTGCAAAGTCGCCTTTTTCGAGTGCTGAAGTTTTGTTCATCGCGCTAAAAAGTGGTTCATTTTACCGCGCAGCCAAAATGATCATATTACAAGGCTGTGACATAGAAAGGTTTGCAGTAACGCAGTAACATCATGGAGAACATGAGAGCGTTGAAAAGAGGTGGACAATATTGCCTCACTGGCAGCCCAAATAAAACAAGCTGCACCAATTCCTATTGCAAAAACAATAAAATTGTTGCAAAATTGAGTGTGAAGTTATTATGCCATCCTAAAGATTTATCGCTAAAACAAAATGCTAAGCTTGTTTGGCACAAGCTGATTGCTAAAGCCGGAGTAACCAGCTATATGTAGTCAAGTAGGTGGCAGAGCTCTGGCAGTGGCACACTTCTTTTGAAAATCCTGGACTAAAATACTTGTGCTGGCGACCAAATCTGAAAACTTAGGGGCCAGCTAGCCCCAGAGTGATTTCCTGAGTTGTTTGCTTCCTCCAGTCAGTTCTTAGGTTAGGCAATCTGGGTAGGTAGCCATTCCTTGTAAAATATCCATGGGAGTCTCTTAATGATGACCTAAAAGTCATAAAGTGTTCCTGAATGTCCCCTTTGACAGCATTTTGAATAACACTGCAGTGGTGGCCGAAGCATCATCCAACTAGGGAA